GGTAATAGCAATGGGTGGAGGCAGGTAAAAGTTTGAATCAAATCCATGGGGCCTGAGTCCTTGTTTCTGTTATGATGTGGGACAACTCTCAGGGTAAGGACCTGAAACATGCATTTTCTTGCCCAAATCCCATGGTTTTCAGGGACAAAATCATCTGGCCATTCCATGTAGCTCCCGAACCACTAATAACATTTGAATAGCCCAAATCCTCATTGCACCTGCCTGACATTAACTCCCTCCCCACCACATGCAGCCCAAACCAGCACTCCTACAGGCCCCGCAGCTGCAGGAGGCTCAGAGTTGCCTTGCTCACCCTGGGGTAGGCAGGTGTAGACCCCTGGTCTGGATGATGTTCACGCCCAGGGTCAAGATAAAACCCTCCCTCACATCTATGGCTTCAGACACAGCTTCAGGGTTTCTATAGTTGTTGACAACCTACATTTATTGAGGGCTTGTTGGATACCAGAAACAATCCCATGACTGTGAGCCAGAGGTTGCATTATTCCCATCTTTCAGATGAGCAAACTGAGACTCAAAGAGGTGATAAAACTTGTGCAAGGCTACATGGTAAATAAGTGGCGACCAGGGGATGCAAACAGACCACCATTTGCTGACTCTAGGGTTCATTACTCTCCCTACCACACCACACTGCCTCTACAGAGGAAAGACTTAGCAACCGTGCACCAGAGAAACCTGCCCCAAGGAGGCACTGATTCTGAGAGCCAAGCCCACTTTGGGGAGGATGTGAGGGTTCAACTCTGATCATTACCTAGCCAGGCACAGTGGCCAGCATTTCTCCCACCCCGTACCCCTGACAGACATTGCTAATTGATTCTGACTCTGTTTCCCATTAAGGCCACACTCAAGTTTCTTCTCAACACGTGATCAATGGACCCATTACCAATGGATCAGGGTTGGGACACAAAGCTGAGCTAAACTGTGAGCATCTCGAAAGCAGGGATGTTTGATTCATTTCTGGATCTCTACCACCTGTGCAAAGCCTGGGACCAAGAGATGCTCACCCAGCATGGGACCTGGCAGCTTCCTGACTGCAAAATAAGGGCATATAGCCTTCTTCTTGGGACCCTGGGATGGGGAGAATGTGGTCACACCTGTGGTGACTTGGAAAGTTGGTAACTCATTACACACATCTAAGACCATTATGGATAAGCATGTTCCTCCTGTAAATGGCACCACAATCCATCCAGGTGCTCAAACTGGCAACAAAAATCCTCCCTTCCCCGTCCCTAACCTCATCCAACCCCTCAGGAAGTCCTGTTGACCCAAACTCCCAAACACACCTGAGATCCAGCCACTCTCTCCGTCTCCTCCACCTCCACCACAGCCCACCACCATCCTCTCTTCCAGAACAATTGCAGCAGCCTTCTCGCCGGTCTCCCTGCCTTTCGTCTCGCCCCTCTCCAATCTGTCCTCCACGTTGTAGTCATAGGGATCTTTGCAAAACAAAAATAAAACTATGTTATTACCCAAAATGCTTCTCATTGTTCTTAACAGAAATGCTGGTGCCCTCTCACCACCTGCAAGGCCCTGTATATTCTGAGCCATGCCCACTCCACCCATCTCATGGGGAGCCACTCTCCCCCTTTCCCACCCAACACACTGGTCCCCTCTCGGTTTCTACAACACACCAAGCCCTTCCCACCTTGGGGTTTCTGCCAGTGCCTGGAATGACCTTTCTTCATTCTCCATGGCCAGCCCCCAGGAGGTCCTTAGAGAAGGCTTCACTGACCTCTCTATCTAAAGGATTCTTCTCACCCCGCCTTGAAACTCATCACCATGTTTATTTCCTTCTCAGCTCTTACCACAAGTGAAATATCTTGGCAGTTTCTCTCTTTGTTTCTTTATTACCCCTACTAGGCTGTGAGCTCCATGAGGACAGAGTCTGTGTCTATCCACATCACAACAGTGTCCCCACCACTCAGCGTAGTGCCTGCCACATAGTAGAAGCTCAATAAACGTTTGTTGAGCGCATAATACATAGCAAGAGCACCTCCCACCAGGGTCCAGAAGTTCCCTGTGCCCCCAGTAACATAACCTCATCCCACCACACTCACTGCCCAGCCAGTCACATGCTCTCAACACATAGCTCCGCCAGGCCACTGTCACTTTTAGCTGCAGCTCTCTCTCCACGCTGACTCCTGAGAAAGCTGCAGAAGCAGAGAAAGTGTCCTCCATGCCTTTGTGTCCTCTAGGCCCAGGACAGTGCCTGCACTGGGCAGGTGCACTGGAAAGGTTGATGATGATGCAAAACTCCACTTCAAAACAGTATCGCAGACAGGTGGAGGGGCCGGCAGAAACCCGCTGGAGTCATCTCAGAGTCACATGAAGGATCTTCGAGAAATCAAGGAGAATGTTCACAAGGCCAGAAGATAAATAATGTATTGATTTTTCAAGAAAAGGAGACAGTCAGAGTCAATCCCAAGAAAAATTCTAGACGTTCTTATTAACTGGTCAGTTGGCAACTAATTTACAAAAAATGAGGCAATTACCAAGATCTAATGTCCATCCCCAGAGAATGTAAGGTGAAATTATTCTAATTTCCTTTTTGACAAGGTGCCCGTACTTGGGACTGATAATATCTGTATTTTAGACAAGTGTTCATTCAACAAATATGTATGGAGGGGCCACCATATGCAGACTTTGTGCAGACCCTGCAGATGCAGCATGAATAAAACAGGCAGACCCCACATCCTGGTGGGACCTTCACGAGGTGTGAGGCCCAGCCAGCACACAGCTGGGTGACACATACAGTACGATCCATGGCGATGAGCTCATGGAGAAAAACCAAAGCAAGCCAGGGAGATAGGCTGCCTGGGAGGGAGGTCAGTGCATCTGGTGGGGTCGAAAGACCTTGCACAGAGCACGTCTTGGTCAAGACTGCAGGAGGTGGGGGAGGGAGCCACACAGGAACCTGGGCCTTGAGCCTCCCAGGCGGAGGAAACAGCAGGTGCTTGGCCAAGGCCTGCGCTAGGCTGCGTAAGGAACAGCAGGCCTGATTGGCTGAAGCAGAGACAGCGAGATGGAAGCGGGAGGAGAGGAAGGTGAGGGAGGGAGGGGCAGGAGGGCCTTGTGAGGGTTTGGTTTGACTGACAGTGTATAAGGCTTGTAGCCGGGTTCTACCTTAGCACGGCAACCGCGAGTCACGCAAGACAGGAGAACACGCCCTTTAAACGGTTCCTAGAAACAGTAATAAGTGAATGAGGTGAAAGCTAGCCTTTGAAATCAAAGACCTGGCTCCAATACACAACTCCTACAACCCAACAATTCCACTCCTAGGTAGATACCCAACAGAAAAATGAACCAGTTTCGCCAAAAGGCTTGTTCCAGAACGTTCACAGCAGCACTGTTCACAATTGCCAGAAATGCCCGTCAACAGAAGAATGGAAAGCACATTGTAGAGTACCCACACCACGGGTTACTCTGCAGCAAAGAGAGTGAGTGATACACAACTTCACATTCATGCGATCGAATGTGTGAATCTCACAAACAGAATGGGAGGGAAAGAAGCCAGAAACAAGGATTCTATACTGTATGATTCCACTCACATAAAGTTAAAAAATGGGTAAAACCAGTCTCTGCTGTTGGCAGTTAGGACAGTGGGGGCTTAGCTCTGGGTCTGAGTGCTGAGTACATGAGAATGTTCAGCTCGTGAAAACTCATCACGTAGCACAGGTCTGAGCTGTGTAGCTGTCTGTTTTATGCTACACTTCAAAAAGTTACTAAGAAACATAAGCACTTCAGGTTAGACAAAACCAATAAATTAATACCACTGATTTAAAAAAAAAAACAAAAGACTGGGTTGGTTCAAGTTCTATTACCTATCAGCAGAGTCACTGGCCACACCACAGGTTCTCAGTATTCTTATATCTAGAGAGAGACCCTCCATAAAACCCACTGATCTGTCACAGAGAAACTGGGACAGTCCAATGAGAAATGCACAGAAGAGTCCTTTAGAAAATAACTCGCATGATAATAACGTTGGTCGTTGCTGACAAAGCCTCACCCCGGGAGTGCTGGAGAACTGGAGAAGTCTCTGGAGGTGGGCCACACGCTCAGTTCTTGCCGCATTCTCTTAAGGCTTTATAAATGACTTGGTGAAGACTAAGAAGGTGAACCCCTTTCTCCCAAAGGTTGAGAAATGACTGATGGGCAGAATCAAAACCAGCTTAACCAACTGGAAGACTGGGACAAAACCAACAGAAGAAATTCAGCAGGGAGAATGCTAACATCACACAGTGAGGTTCAAACCATACATTGCATCACCATTGCTCCAGCACAGGGACAAATAATTTGGTGACCAGTTGACCCTCCTGTAAAATATAGGACTGTTTTGACAGGAATAGGAACGTGGGTCAGGAGAAGGGGCCCCTCTTCAGTCCTCCGTGTAGAGCAGCGCACACCTGGCACCCTAAGTCCAGCTCAGGGGTCCACCCTGCCCTGTCCCAGCCCACACTGATGGCAACGAGACGTGTTTGGCAGAACGTTAGCAAGGTGCTGGCAAGTGAGGGTGGATATGGTCTACGCCACCCTTCACCCCAAGCTCGGGCTCCTGAGGGTGGTGACGAGGACACCAGACTTCTCTAACTCCCCTTGACGTGAGAGCCATCATCCATCACCCTCCACCAATGCCTCAGTTTGCCTCAGCGGAGATGGGGCTGTAGCAAGCCCCCAGGCAGACTGGGAAGGGGGTTGGCTCTATTATCCACCTCTGGTTCCAGTCTCATGAAGAAGTCTCATGAAGCCTGGTTCATCATATGATATGATATGGGGGCAAAGCAGGAGACGTTGGTGGCCAATGCCTGAAACAACCAGTCACAACCCAAACTCCTTCCCTTGGACTACACATGCTACTGTTTTCACACACAGCCATGTTGTTAGGGAAAGGGGACGCCTGAGTCAGCCTTTGTGACATACCCACATACCCTGAGGTCACCCCCAGATCCAGGCATTCACATGAGAGTCATAACTGCGGTGACTCAGGCTTGCAGCTCACTGACCCCAGCAGGAGGCAGATGGGGAAGAAGAGGAAGCTGGGACAGGTGGGCCAGAGGGTGACCACCAGGCTGTGGCCCTGGTCCCAGGTGGGGAGGTCAGCAGTCCAGTATCCAAGGTGCAAAATTCAGCTCCACTCAGCCTAGATCAACATCCAGATGGGACCAACCTGGAGCAGGACACCAGACAGTGGCTGGGGACAGAGCGAGAGGGTCCAGTATATGGAGAAGTGTCAAGAGAGTTAGGGCCCCAGCCAAGAAAATGGAGGTGTTGCAAGACTCCAGGACCTGGGACACTGTAAGAGTTGATCGCTCCATCCATTGGTGAGTTGTGAGTCCCACCACATGACCAGAGCCTCAGAGATCGTGCTCAGCGGGGAGCTGAGGAAGGCTAGGACAAGGCGGACATTAGGTCACCCAGCATTGAGGGCAGCAGGCTTAAAGGCAGGGAGTAGAGGCAGGGGCTCTCCTGCTGGCCCTGTTCACATGGAGCCAGGGCCTTGACAGGATCTGCCAGGTACAGCAAGGCTTCCGGAAATGGCACTGACCCGGCTCAGGCCAGAGACCTGGTCCTCCTCCCAAACCCTGTCACTGGCTGCACATACTACCTTCCACCTGGTTATTGAAACCTCCCTCCAGGAAGCTGGCCGTGCAAAGGAAAGCCCAATCACATCTGTTGGCCACAGGGAGGAAGGCCTGCAGCGGGCATCTTAGGAAAGCCATTCTTAGAGGTATACATGACACAGCCCTTCCCACCATCCTACAGAGCTACCCTCCTCTGGCTCCCAGCATCCACTCCCCTCACCCAACTCCAGCACTCCAGCACCTCGGCAAACGGTCACCTTGCAGAAGATGCCGGGGGAAACAGTTCTTTCCCACTGCTTGCTCTTTAAAACCCACTCCTATTTTTTCATCCCAACTCTAGAGCATTTCCAAAACTTACATTGACTTTCCCACATCAGTTGCTTTTAACCATGTCTTCCGGTTGCCCATTCCAAACAGAAAACTCAAGATCCTCGATTTCCCCTGGACATCAGGATTAGGTTCCAGGTTGCTCCGTGGTGGTGGATGTTGCTGTTTTGTTACTTTTGTGCACGTTAAAATTTTAAAAATCATAGCAAAGGTTGGCGTCTGTCGTTGCGCGTGCTGAGGCCTCACAATGCTTGCTGTCGTAGACGGGCTGATTACCCAACTCCATTTATCAAAGTGTCACTTCCCTGACAGGCCCTAATAAATATCCTGCCAGAGACCCCGCACCTGGCAGCCGTGCCACTCGGCAACACGCCGCTAACCTAATTTGCTAATTGCTGCTTTCCCCATTAATTTTAGTCCTGTCTTGTTTGGTGTTGACATGGAGGAAAAAGAAATAGGGTGGAAAAAACAGACAAGAAAGAAAATATCTCGGGGTCCCCCAGCATCCACCCCGCCCTTCCACTCCTTCACACAACCACTCACTCGCACTCACACCTAAATACCGACTTCTTTCCTCTCTCTTTTTCTCACCCTGGCTGAAGGAGATTAAACATTTAAAGGTGCAGGGCCAGATTTCCCAAAAATCAAGACACACGCCTGATAACGGGATAAAAGGTTTGACAATGGGGCCATCGTAGAAATACAAGGGACCAATAGTTCCTGAACCTAAAGTCATTCAATCAATATCATTGCTTTTGGTAGAGAAAAGATCAAATAAGGCATCACAGGGGTTAACAAGTCCAGCCCATGCATCCTTTCACATGGCTATGTCCCAGAGCCCTCCAGTCCTGGGGTCCCTCACTCCTGCCCCTCCCTGTGTCACAGTGAAGTTCTGCCTCCCTTTTGGTCTCATTCTAAGGATTGATGTCCAGATAACAGCACAGGACAATACCTAAGGACGGAACTTCCCAGTCAAGACTGACTCTGCTGGTCACCCGGGCTAGCCACACCCCAATTCCTTCAAAAGACCCCAATGATGGAGAGGTTTCCTTGTGGGCTGTTGTGAGTATAGATCATTACAAATGAGCTCAGTGTATTCAAAGTCCTGTTGAAGAGACAAAGGCAGGAATGAGGAGGATGCCAGCCAAGGGTGAAAAGGAAGGGAGACACTGTCTTCTCAAGACCAACAAAAGTTCCCATCTGAAAAAGGGGGATGGCTGACTCACTAACCCAGGGGTCTGAAGGTGACCTCCTCCTCCATCTTGGTACATGTGAACCTTAGGCATTTGGTGGTGTCCCACGTTGGACAGAGTGAACACGTCCACAGATTCCATTTACCTCGTGTTCTTCCTCATTGTAGATTTCATTACGGGCAGACCAGCAACAGCAGACAAGACAGTGCAGTGGCACTAAAATTTTTTGGTTTTAAATTGACAAACCTAATGCATGCTTCCGGAAAAATTCACACCTTCAGAACAGTCCGAAGAAGAAGCCAAAAATCTCTTGGCATCCCGATACTCAGAGACACCCATCAACATCCAGCCCTTTTATTATTTACGCACACCCACAGGAGTGCGTGTTATTTCATACATGGACCATGCTACCTTGTTTTTTACTCACTTACCGAAGAGATCTTTCTGTGCCACTGAAAATATATCTCCATCATCATTTTTAACCATTTTATTAGGATCTATTTAGCTAGTTCCATGTGGATAGACATTTAAGTTATTTTCTTTCTTTTCTCTTCCTGTCCACAGTGCTGTGATGAATAGCCTTGTAGCTACACCTTTGCACATTTGTCCAGTTATTACCTTAGGATAAACGACCAGAGGTAGGAGCACCAGCCTCAATGGTGCAGACATTTAAGATTCAGATAAACTTTCTGACCTCGTGCCCCTAGGGAAGGTATATGAATTTACATTGACCCCTGCGGTGCATGAGAGTGTCACTTCCCTACGACCTTGAAGAAATCAGTTATTTTTAATTTGTAATCATTGCCAATCTTCCAGATAACAAATGATCTGCTTCTATTTGCATTTCTTGGGTTGTTTGTGAAGTTTGGTGTGTTTTTATGCTTGTAGGACATTCAGATTTTGTGAATTGCCTGTCCCTAACCTTTGCTTATTTTTCTGTTAGAGTATTTGTCTCTTTTGTTAATTTACAGAAACTTTTTATATATTAAGGATACTGTTCTTTTGCCATGTACAAATTTTTCATATGTCCTCCCTACCAGTTCATTATTTCAACTTTCTCTATAGTTTTTGTACACGATAGTGTGAACTATCATGAAAAATTGCCCATAGTGAAATCTATAATAAGGAAGTAAACAAGATAATTAGAATCTGTGGACATATTCACCCTGTCCAATGTGGGACACCACCAGATGCCCAAGGCTCACACGTGCCAAGATGGAGGAGATTGCCTTCAGGCCTCTGGGAGAGACAGCCCTAAAATCTGTCTTCTCCCTGTCTCTGGCCTCATGCTCCTCTGCTCCTTCCCTTTTGAATCAGATGCCAGCTACAGGGCAAAACAAAGACATTTAGACACTCCTAATTCCACTAAGTCAGTGACAGCAAGAAAGAGAGAGAGATACATCTGGGCTTGCTTGATCAAAGCAGTCAATAAAACCCCCTGGGGACTCCAAAGATGTCAAGATGTCATCTCCTTTCCTTTCACCACAGTCTAGAATGGGGGTGGCAACCTTTTTCTTAAAAGGCCAGATAGTAAATCACTTTGGCTTTGAGGGCTGTATGATCTCTGTGGCTTCCACTCAACTCTGCCATTTGAAAGCAATCACAGACAATATGTGAACAGATGGGCATGGCTGCAGTCCAATAAAACTCTATAGTCTGCCAACCTCTGGTCTAGAATTCTGAAGTGGAAAGAAGAGAGGATTAAACCCACATTAATGATAGCAGTGGCCTCTGGTTATCAAGAGGGCCTAACCCAACAGCGCACCTTCTGAGAACCACACAATCAGACCCCACACCCCCATTCAACATCATGCCAAAGTGGAGACCTGCTGGTGGCTAAGGACAGGGCTGCTGCATGTGGTTGCCCAGGCTGTGCACTGCACAAATCCAGAAGGTGCCATTCACATATACTGTGATATGAATGGTGCCCTCCTTGAGTTGGACAATGTGTCAGCCCTGCCTGAGGGTCACCAAAGAGTCCCGTATTTGTGAGGAAGATTCACTGGCTGGCAAGGGGCGGGGCGGGGGGGGGGGGGTCGGTACATGGACTCTATTTCACTATTTCAAATACTTGGTGGACAAGAGTGTCTCCCCCACGATAGGGGCTGTGAGCCACTGCTTCTTTGGGAATAGTGTGATGAGGGCTTCCACATTCCAAAGTTTGAGGATGAGGGGAGCCAGCCCTGGAGGGTCCCTTGAAGGAGTGGATCAGGGACTGTGGGGAGCTACGGGGACTAAAGAGAAACTGTTTCTGCTGAAGCTTAAAAGGAATGTGACTTGGGGCAGAAGGCTGCCTGGCCCCAAAGCCCCTCTACTGTGAGCCCCCTGCTCTCGGCCCCTGGTTGATCAGGGACCCAAGAGGAGCAGGGGCCTCTGGAAGTATCCAGCCCCTCACCCCACCCAAGGAGTGTGGAGCATGTCTGGGGAGGAGGAGGCATCCACCGGCCTCACGGGCTGCAGGACCCGGCCTCTCAGAGCCAGCACAGGAACCACGCCCCCCCCCCCCCCTCCCCGGAACTCAACTGGCCCCAAAAGGCCCCAGAGCCAGCCGCAGCTGCCCCGATCCCTCCCAGAGTAAGCCTGCTGCCCAGATCTCAGCCGTGAACTCCGGTGAGCTTCCTTCCAACAGCTACAGATGAACAAAATATTGCCCTGTTCCCAGTTACGTTAAAAGGGCCTAGTAAAGAATAATGGCAAAGATGCCCGCAGCCAAAAGCTGCTCTAGATGGCCCTTTAAGCGAGATTTACGGCAGGCATTTAGCAGTGTCCCTGGGACGTTTGCTGGCACCGATCGGTCGGAAGGATGTGCGTGGCGCCTCCCCGGGCCAGCAGGCAGGGCCATCCTTCATTCCGGGCAGCTCTGCCTGCCCCCGCGTGGTCCGGCTCCCCCACGGGCCCTGCCCGAGTCCATTAGGCCCCTGCCTGGGCTGCCTGCTAATAATTCCGGCTGTCAGGTGCCTCGGGACGAGGCCAGCTAAAAGCCTGTCCTGACCCAGCGGCTGGGAGGCCGTGAGGCATGCTGGGATCTGAGAAACTGAGGCAGGGACAGGGGTGGAAGCACAGAAGACAGAGGTAGTGGGCGTCCCTGGAGAACCCCTGTTGATTTTTTCGTTCACTGTGTATTTATTGAGCCCCTACAATACGCTGGGAAGAGAAGTGCACAAAACTAGCATGTTTGTTCCTGCCCTTGTGAACCTCAGTATCCAGAGGGGAAGAGCA